CTTCTTATATACAGGAAGCAGACCAGATACCCAAAGGCAGCCACCCAGCTGCTTGTGGTAGATACCACCATGGAGTTGATTGCCAGTCTCCTCATGAGGATTAACTACCACCAGCTGCCCAGCCACTCAACCAGGCCCAGACAAATTGAGACACAAACCGAACTACCACAATATGTTAGGCCAGAAAGCAAGACTCAATAAATTTTAAAACACTGAAATACTGCGAAGCATATTCTCAGATCATAATGCTGTAAAATTAGAAATCAACAATAGGAAGATGAACGGAAAAAGAGAAAACACATGGAAACTGAAAAACACCCTTCTTGAAAATGACTGGGTAATAGAAGAAACAAAAAATGAAATTAAAAAAGTCCTTGAATCAAACGAGAATGAAAATACAACATACCAAAATCTGTGGGACACAGCAAAAGCAGTGATCAGAGGCCAATTTATAGCAATAAATGCACACATCAAAAAAGAAGAAAGAGCCAAAATCAACACCTTAACCCAACATCTCCAACAATTAGAAAAAGAGCAGTAAGAAAAGCCTAGTCACCAGAAGATTTGAGCAGAAATAAATGAAACAGAAAAGAGAAAGACAATAGAAAAAAAAACAACAAGACTAGAAGTTGGTTCTTTGAAAAGATTAATAAAATTGACAAACCACTGGCAAATTTAACAAAGGAAAAGAGGGAGAGAATACAAAGAGCATGAATAAGAAATGAATTGGGCAACACCACAACAGAACCAACAGAAATTAAAAGGGTAGCCTAAGGCACTTGACTGCTAACCAGAAGGCTAGTGGTTCAAATTCACCAGCCACTCCTCGGAAGGAAGGTTGGGCAATCTACTTCTGTAGTGATACTGCCTCAGAAACCCAAGGAATGGTTGCTATGAGTTGGAGATGACTCGATGGCAAATAACAATAACAACATTTGAGGCTATATTAAAAAGAGTTCTAGGACTGGACTGTAGAACTAGATTATGTTAATCTGTAAAATATAAGTTCACAAATAAGCTTTGGTAGAAATGATCTCTATTAAAAAAGGAGATTAAATTTGGGTGACTATAGAAAAGTTTCTGAATCACATATAAATCCATTAGTAAATCACTACCAGATGCTATCAAGTTGATAACAACTTATGGAGATGTCAGAGTAGAACCGTGCCCGTAGCGTTTTCAATGCCTGATCTTTCAGAAGCAGATCACCAAGTCTTTCCTCCAAGGTAGCTTTGGGTGGACTCAAACCTCCAAAATTGAAGTTAGTATACAAGTGTGTGAATCATTTGCACCTCTCAGCCCATTAATAACTGAGTATTTTTAAGATCATTCCTCTCATTTCACATGTTTTTGTTAGATGCTGTGGAGTCAGTTTTGGCAAATAACAATTCTTTATACAACAGAATGAAACAATGCCTGGTCCTGAGCCATCCTCACAATTGTTGCCACGCTTGAGCCCACCATCACAGCCACTATGTCAGTCCATCTCATTTAGGGTTTCCCCCTTTTTCGCTGACCCTATACCAAGCATGATAGCCTTTTTCAAGGACTGGTCCATTCTGACAACATGACCAAAGTATGAGAGAAGAATTCTGGCCATTCTTGCTTCTAAGGAGCATTCCAGTTATATTTCTTCCAAGACAGATTTGTTCATTCTTCTAGCAGTCCAGGGTATTTATAGTATTCTTCACTGACACCACAATTCAAAGGCATCAACTGTTCATTGGGTCTAGCTTTCACATGTATATGTGGCTACTGAAAATACCATGGCTTGGGGCAGGCACATCTTAGTCTTCAAAGTGTTATCTTTGCTCTTAAACACTTTAAAGAGGTCTTTTGCAGCAGATATGCCCAAAGCAATACATCTTTTGATTTCTTGACTGATGATTCCAAGGGCCCTAATTGTGGATCCAAGTAAAATGAAATCTTTTTTATTTTTTTCTACATTTATCATGATGTTGCTTATTGGTCCACTCATAAGGATTTTTGTTTTCATTATGTTGAAGTGTTCCAACTCTTTCCAGGTCCTATTTTGAGAGCCTTTTAGCCTAAAAGGACTATTCCTAAAGGTGCGTGGTAATGTACCAGTGTTTCTTTGCTATTCATAAGGTTTTCCCTGGCCA